GAGGGTCTGAAGGAGGGGGCAGAGGAGGGTCTGAAGGAGGGGCAGAGGGTCTGAAGGAGGGGGCAGAGGGTCTTCACCGGTTTGTATTTTGCTTGCTACTCAAGAACATCTGCAGACAGAAGGCACAGGGACCCAAACATGGGACAACTTTCTAGTGACGCTGCTCATGCAGCAGGTAGGGGAGCTGGTGTCGTACAAGGAAACTCCAGGAGGACTGGGTTTCGTCATCTGAGACCACGAATAAGCGTGGCGAAGGGTAGAATGTCACCCTGGCACGTGCACTTGGTGTTTCGCACGGGTCGGCGGCCCCCAGAGGCCGCTGAGGATCCACACCCTGGGGGCGGCAGTGAGTGTTCAGAGCCCGGACATGTCGCCTCTCCCCTCGGAATGTTTCGCCAAGTCCAGTGGTGACGGCTGTGATGTGCTCGACTAATGATAGACCTGTTCTGAGGAGCAGCAAGGCTTCAGCAGCAGCATCTCATCTACCTAACTAAAAAAAACAGTTTTTTTGATAGAGAGAGAGTGCAAGTGTGGGAGGGGCAGAGAGAGAGGGAGACATGGAACCCGAATCAGGCTCCAGGCTCCGAGCTGTCAGCACAGAGCCTGATGAGAGGCTCGAACCCACAACCTGTGAGCTCATGACCTGAGCCAAAGTCACATGCTTAACCAACAGAGCCCCCAAGGTGCCCCACGTCTACTTAATTTAATTAACAGTCATAGCAGCCCTCTGAGGGAGTACTGTTGGCCCCATTTTATGATCCTCAGGGACGCAAGCAAGGAAGGGAGAAGACGGGCAGAGGCCCGCAGGCTGGGGGTCAGAGCCCCTTCGGGCTGCATTTCTCCAGCAGATGTGGCCTCCTGCTCTGGCAAGTTCTGGAATCCAGGAGCAGGTCCCCCGAAGAGCCCATGGGCAGCCCCAGAATCAGCACCCCCAGACGGAAGGGCCGGTAGGGGGAAGCGTGCACTGAGCGTCCCCTTCCAAGCTTCTGATTCCTCCCTGGCGTCTGAAGTTACTGTTTCTCCCTCCTCAGAGGAGAGAGGTGCTAAGCCCATGGCTCCGGAGATGGAGGGGATGGGGGCCTTTGTGCAGGAGCATTTGCATGTTAGAAAAGGGTGGGGGAGAGAAAGGGGACAGCTTTGTGCCTCTGAAGCTCATTCTCTTTCTGGAACACCCCTCCTGAGCTCCTCCCCACCCCAGGGGCTGCTTCCCCTTCAGCATCTCCTCAGCCCTCTCCTTTGAACTCCACACTGAGCTCTTCTTCCCTTTGACTTTACCCCACTCTCTTTTATAGTTTGGGGGATACATTTTTTGTTTGCTGACCCAAACTCGAGGCCTATTTCGACCAGGGTTGTGGGGAGCCCCCCACCCCGTGCTGTCCTGTACCCAACAGACTTGGGCCTTGAATTGTTTCTGCCACTTATTAACCGTCTAATCGTAAGCAAAACACATCGCCTGTCTTGTCCTCAATATCCTCTTCAGTAAAATGGGACAATAGACCAGAAGGATTTCAAGATCTGTTGCAGCCCTAAAGACTGAATGCGTTCAGCAGTCCTGGAGGAAGAGAGCTGAAGATTTTAGCTGTTCATCACTGCTGTCATGATCCTTTCGAGATTTTACTGATCCTAACTTATATAAATGCTTCCGATATGGAGGCTGAAGGTTGCACAAATGTTCCTGTTTGACATTTGGAACACTATACCCTCTCTCCTGCATGGTTTGTTTTTTGTGTTTTTTTTGTGTTTTTTGGCTATAACAACCAGAGGTTTCTATATAGCCTCTCTGGCTTTTTGCTTATCATAAGGGAATAAAATCTTGACCTATAAATAAAGTAAATAAAAACACATTAAGAGGAAGGCTGTTTTGATCCTACTGAATGAATTCTTTAAATTTTTTTTTTAACGTTTGTTTATTTTTGGGACAGAGAGAGACAGAGCATGAATGGGGAGAGGGGCAGAGAGAGAGGGAGACACAGAATCGGAAGCAGGCTCCAGGCTCTGAGCTATCAGCACAGAGCCTGACGCGGGGCTCAAACCCACAGACTGTGAGATCATGACCTGAGCTGAAGTCAGACGCCTAACCGACTGAGCCACCCAGGCGCCCCTCTACTGAATGAATTCTTAACGTACTGGAATGGTATAGCTTGTCAAGTGATATAAATGTCAAGTTGACAGATGTCAAATCCAGTCCCATTGGGGGACGAAGAACGTAAAGTGAGTGTCTTGGAACCAGAGGTTAGCTTCCCATGGTGCCTTTGTTTGCTACCTAATAGTGGGTTTGGTGATGAGTTAATTAGGTATCAGTCCATTACATATTAGAGTCTCAACTCGGGGAGTTACTGGGGCAGAGTCAATTGGATAAGACGACCTTACATTTGATTGCACTACTGTTTCCTAAGGAAGAAGCATCACTTCGTGTCTTCTGAGCAATGAGTTGGGTGTCGTCAGCATGTTGGTGTGACCTTTGTGGGGTCACACCAGCTCCGTAGAGGCTGGGCCGGGGAGAGTCCAGCGTGCCCAGGAGAGCCAGTAGGCTCAGAGCCGGGAGGAGTGGGTACCGGTCTAACCCCTGGGCTGACCCTGCCCTCTGCTTTGCCAGGTCATCCACTGCAGCGGCTACCTGAAGATCAGGCAGTATATGCTGGACGTGTCCCTGTACGACTCGTGCTACCAGATCGTGGGGCTGGTGGCCGTGGGCCAGTCGCTGCCACCCAGTGCCATCACAGAGATCAAGCTGCACAGTAACATGTTCATGTTCAGGGCCAGCCTTGACCTGAAGCTGATCTTCCTGGATTCCAGGTGAGTTTGGCACCTGCTGCTGCTGCAGAATTCCAGAAGATACTGACAGTGGAAACTGGCCTGAACGCTGAGTTGTTAAGCCAAAATGTAACGAGGAAATAAGCCGTACTAAGAAAGGGAGTTAGGGGACGCCTGGGTGGCTTAGTTGGTTAAACGTCCGACTCTTGACTTGGGCTCAGGTCATGATCTCATAGTTCCGTGAGTCTGAGCCCTGTGCTCTGGACCATAAGCCCAGAACCAGTTTGGGATTCTCTCTCTCCCTCTCTGCCCCTCCCCTCCAAAATAAATAAATTAATTAATTAATTAAAAAAAAAAAAGAATGTGAGTTAGAAGGGTATTTAGTGGAACCAAGTCAGGAATTGAAAGAATTGATATCAGCTTTAGTACTTAAAGAGTAGCCAGCTTCTCCAGGTGCTGGGTACTTGTTGTATATTATTTATTTATATTTTCATCATCTCACTGGAGTTGGAGCTGGAAATATGTGCTGTGGACACAAGTTAGCCTTTGTCGAAGGCCTGCGACGTCAGGATTCTGCCTTGTGTGTCCGTCAAGTAGGTGGGACCTTAAGGCAAAGAAAAGATTTTGCAATGAGCTGGTGGGAAGCCATCGGAGCTCTGATGGCCACAGAGCTGAGGCTGAGAGCAGACAGGTGGCCTTTGCCGGGAAAAGCTGTGACTACAAGCTCAGTGGGTGCCCTGTCTGGGCTGGGAGGACACCTCTGGCTGGCAGTGAGGGCGAAGGTACAGTGGCCCCTGAACTGTCTCTCCCAACCGCCCTTCCCCTCCTCCCTGAGAATGTCCACCCATCTGAGGATCTCTTGTCAGAGAGAGAAGGGAGAGCGAATGAGGCAAAAGCACTAACTTGTTGTTTCGCTTGGCCTGCCAAAGCTGGCCACACAGGGGAGGTGTGTGCTGTAGAAGCCGTGGCCTGTCCCCCAGGAGGGCTTGCCGGCTTCACGTGGCCCCAGGCCCTTGGGGCTTCCTCCACCTACCATTTTCTTTTTTTATTTCTTTTTTATTTTTTTTTAATGTTTATTTATTTTTGAGAGAGAGAGAGAGAGAGAGAGCACGAGCGAGGGAGGAACAGAGAGAGAGGGAGACAGAATCTGAAGCAGGCTCCAGGCTCTGACCTGTCAGCACAGAGCCCAGTGCGGGGCTTGAACACACGAGACGTGAGACCACGACCTGAGCGGAAGTCGGGCGCTTAACCGACTGAGCCACCCAGGCATCCCTTCCGCCTACCATTTTCTTATCCGTAAAAAAGTCAGCCTCGCCCTGCCCGCTCGGCTACCCACAGGCTGTTAGGAAAGATGAAATTTGATAATAGATGTGAAGCATTCATAAAAGTAAAGCCTGGAAGCACTTGGGTGGCTCAGTTGGTTAAGCATCCGACTTTGTCTCAAGTCATGATCTCACAGTTTGTGAATTTGAGCCCCGTGTCAGGCTTTGTGCTGATGGGTCGGAGACTGGAGCCTGCTTTAGACTCTGTGTCTGCCTCTCTCTGCCCCTCCCCTGCTTGCACTGACTCTCTCTCTCTCAAAAGTAAATAAACACTAAACAAACAAACAAACAAAAGTAAAAAGCTGATGCACCTAGTCCTTTAGAGTCCTCAGCTGTACAGGAAGGGACAAATGTTCAGAGACCCCACTTTTGCCTTTCGGTGTGTGTGGCCAAGCTGTCTGGGAGAAAGGAGGTATATATGTGTGGGTGTACATGTATATACGTATATACACACATATGTGTAAATATAAATATAAAATTTTGCTAATGTTTATTGATTTTTCCCACCTTTTTATTCTGGTAAAATATACATGACATAAAATTGACCATTTTAACCAGTTAAGGGAGAAAACCAAACATACCTGGTTAGGGGCGGGAGACAAAGACACAAAGTAGCCTAGTTTATCATTAGTGAACCTCAGAGCCCTTCAAAGGTAGAGAAATGACAAGGGTTGGCCTGACAGGCTTGCCATCGTGCTCCCAGAAACTCCAAGCAAAGAGTACCCAAAACTCTTTGCGGAAGGGAGGCCAGCACCTTGGGGCTGGCCGGACTGACAAATGCTGCCCTACTGCATCGAAGACAGAGGCACCTGCCAGCAGAGGGGCCCTGGGCGGGTGGACTGTCTGGGCCCATGGTGGCAGCATGAGAAGGAGTTCTTTCTGGATTCAGGGGCCACTTCTAAAAGTGAACGGAAAGGAATTCTGGCCGTCCGAGCTCATTACTTTAAAAACCTGGGAGGATATGACCAGGTTCCCCCTTATTACCTCTGTCTCCTAGTTTTTCCTTGACGATTCTAGGAAAAGCCTCTGAGGCCTGGTGAATTCTCTAGAAGAGGAAAGAGAGAGGTCTCCCCAGAGGAGACATTTCAGATCTTCTCAAATTGTTTGAAGCACACAGCTTTGAAACACAAAGGACAAATGGAGGGCTTTGCAGAAGAGGGTGTTCGAAGGTAGCTCAGAGGCCAGACTGCTCCTGAAGGAAACAGGAAACTGTTTCTACAGAAGTTCCCTGCTGTTCTCCCAGCTATGTACCTGGAAGCTTCTAACAGATCTCCTGAACTCCTGTCGTGTAGACGTTTAAAGGGCTCAGAGACAAGCTAGAATTCCTCGAACTCACTCTGGTCTCCAGTCTGTTGCAGTTCGGTCTCCGAGGGGCGGCTGGGGGTCAGGGACAGAGGGGCTGGCCCAGGACCGAGAGGGCAGCAGAATGGCCCAGCAGGGTGGGAGATGTCAGCTCCTCCATCCAAAGCCCAGAAGCCACGGCAACGGGTTGGCCTGAAGCCCAGCAGCCCTGAAGTCACAGGGCCCTGGGTGGGGGGCCTGCAGGGGTGGGGGTGGCCACTTGGCCCCCCACCCAGTGTAATCCCAGACACAACTGAACTCAGCATAACCTGAAATTTGGGTCAGAGGGGTTTTGTGGTATTTCACTTTGAAACTGTAGCTGGTGCTTTTGCTAAGGATGGGTGAACCCAGCCATGTTTGGGGTTTGGCAAATCCCTCTGACAGGTCTTCAGACACTGGAGGTTTGGAAAAAACCAGGAGGGCATGCTGCCAGACCCTTCTCTTTCCCTTTAATTTTTAAAGCCAATGTGCGCTTTGATGAGAAACTTAATACATGTGTTTCTGATTCATTTACACGTTCGGGGCTGTTGTTCTGTAACTTTACTTCCAAAGGGTCTGGGAAGCCTCTTTCGTCCCCACACCGTAGAGACGCCTGGTTTTCTTTTTCTTGGGGGGGTGGGGTGGGGAAGCCAGGTCTCAGTTTTCCTGTCACACCGTTAGACTCCGATGGGGCCTGAAGTTCTAGATGGCCCTTAGATAAGTCCCCGAGCCCGGAAAGGCCTGCACAGGTTCCCTTTCCACCGACCTCCAGCCCCATCTCCTTCCCGCCCTGGAGGAACACCATGGAAATGTGTACACCAAATAGTGAGCGGTTCCAGGGAAATATGAGGCTCTCCGAGATTTACGACCCGGAGCCCGCGCAGAACTCGACAGAAAGGGGAGCGCATTATGGAACGAAAGTGAGGTCGAGTTTCCCCGTTGAGTTCGCAACTGACATTTCAGAGACAAGCCAGCAGGACCCCCCGGTCCGGGCCGTCCTCAGGCCCCACCTCTGCCCCCTCGGGACTGACTTCTCACCAGGACCTCCCTTCCTCTGGAAAAGCTTCCTGTCCTTCTGTTTCATCTGTTCTTAAATATCTGTCACCAAGGCTTTTCGGCCTCCTCTTCCAAGGGCATAGTCACTGGGTCGGTTGCCCGGGGCCCCGGGAAGTGACACCACTGCCACGTGCAATTTCCACCTGCGGATGGAGAGATCCAGACGCCACGGATGATGTGGTCTCGGATGCTGGGAGCCACTTTTCCTCAAAGAGCTGATGTGGGAAGTCAGTATTCCTGGGGCCTGATGAGAACAGAGAGGTGGTAATAGCATGAGGGCACCGGGCACGTGTTGCCCTTCTGCCAGCGAACGTTATGATTTACCCCGCAGCCACAGTATTTTCGGGTGTTGTCGTACTAGTTTTTGGACGCTGCACGGGCCTCCGTTGATCGGACGCGTTAATGTCTCCAGTTCTTCTGCAAATGCTCCCGCCCGACCAAAACCTCGTGAGACCGTTGTGCCAGGTAGCAGGGGCCAGTGGGAGATAAAAAGGCTCACACACACAATAGCCAGGACGTGGGAGCAGCCCAAGCGTCCATCGGCGGACGGACAGACAGACAAAACGTCGTATCTACATAAAATAGAACATAATCGAGCCATAGAAACGAATGGCATTCTGTCCCACACCACAACGTGGGTGACCCTTGAAATCAGGATGCCAAGTGAGAGAAGCCAGACACAAAGGGACATATACCAGGTGGTTCCACTCATCCGAGATATCTAGAATCGACAGATTCCTAGAGACAGAGGGAGACGGAGGTTACCTGTTGCGGGGGGGGGGGGGGGGCAATGGTGAGTTCTGAAGAACATCGTGGTTGTAGTTATTGCCACTACGTGTAGACATAAAAATGGTCAAAGTGGCAAAGGTTGTGTAATGCATATTTTTCCACAATAATAATTTTTTAAAAAAATTTAAATGTTTATTTTTGAGAGAGACAGACAAAGTGTGAGTGGGGGAGGGACAGAGAGAGAGGGAGACACAGAATCGGAAGCAGGCTCCAGGCTCCGAGCTGTCAGCACAGAGCCCGACGTGGGGCTCGAACCCACGAACCGTGAGATTGTGACCTGAGCCGAAGTCGGACGCTCCACCGACTGAGCCACCCAGGCACCCCCACGATAATAATTTTAAAAAAGGTTCCCACTGGACTGTCACCCAGAAGCCACTGGAAAGTAGTTCTTTCTCCCATCAGAGTTCACTCTTAAGCGCCCCCAGACAAGCTTCACCCTGAAAAAGGAAAACATTTGAAGCCACCCCAAACGTTCTTCTAGCCAGCAGTTTCAGAAGAACATTCCTGCCCATGAATAGTGCTACATCCTGCACTGGGCTAGCGTTCAAAGCCTTTCTCCTTGTAAAAAAAGATCATTCTCGGTTTCCAAAACCAACATCACCCCCACCCTGAGCCTTTTAGCACTTGATTAGTTGGCAAAACCAATATTAGTTTAAATGAAAGGCAACCTACAGAACAGGGTAACACACGGAGCCACTGTCCTCCCCCAGGGTGACCGAGCTGACCGGGTATGAGCCGCAGGACCTGATCGAGAAGACCCTCTACCATCACGTGCACGGCTGTGACGTGTTCCACCTCCGCTACGCGCACCACCTCCGTGAGTACCTCGCTCACCGCCCGGGGCTGGGGGCCGGGGCTGGCCAGGAAGGGGGTGGCCAGAAGCGGGGCGGGAAGGCCACCCTTGTTTGGTACAATAGTCCTCCGTTGTGCACACATGAATTCTAAACCTCAGACTGACCCCATCCACCCCTCCGTTTAGCACAGCTACTGGTCAGTTCTCAAGCATCCAGCTTACCTTCCAGTGAAACTCTGGCAGGTGTGGGATGGTGCACAAGTTGCTGATTCGAGATGGTGGATGTATTTGGAACCTAGATTTCTCTAGGACATCTGGACACGTTTACACAAAGCGCAACAGCAGAAGCACCAACACGTACAGAGCCCTTGCTCCTGTGGGGCACCGGCTTAGGTGATTAAAGATGTTACTAACCCAGTGAAGGAGATTCTCCTGTTCATGATCCTCCTATTCCTACTGAGGATGCTGAGGTTCAGAGAGGTTAAGCCACTTGCCTGAGGTCACACAGTGAGAGGCTGGAGAGTCTGGAGCCAAAGCAGCCAGGACCCGGCCCCTGACCACTGTCCACCACCTGGCTGGGAGGCTCAGGGGAGACCACGGGTTCCCAGGATGGGAGAAGTCAGCATGGAAAGAATGAACAATCAGTATTCGATTGGCCAGTGCAGAAGGTTTGGTGAACATCTGGACGGGGAGGGGGG